AAACCTATTTACTCGTTAGGTAGTATATTAAATACATTTCAACCTTTTCGGAGGCGGCGCATAATTAAAAATACCTCAGTAAACGTTGCTGCCAATAACCAGTTGATTGTGGTATGACGTATTGGAAATTAATAAATCCTGAGAAGGAATACAAACCATTATAGATATATCTGGTAATATACGTAAATGTAACGTCTGCATCTTCATTTCGCAACGTTTCTGATATAAATGAAATTGAATTGACTTCGTTCGCATGTGGAAGCCATGAATCTAAGAACCTATAAACGGAGCCCATGACGCGGGAATTACCAAAATTTGCGGCAGATGGGCTCTATCTTTATAGTATATGCGGCGATCGAGTCTTTCCGTCGCATACTCTATGAATCTAGCCCTATGCGGACTACCGCCGCATATATGCGTTCTGCGTAAATCATCAAATTGACCGAAGAACTCATATATGCGTTCCGCGAAAACAACTGATAGAGCCGAGAAACGCATACATGTGTACATGCACGTAAATCTGTGCATGTACAGTCCAGAGTATGAGAGAAAACTAGTGGGTTGGGAACGGGACAAAGAGGGTAGGCCGATAGGACCACCGAACCCCCACTTTTCGACTCGCGCGTAGCTTCCACCGTTCATCCGTAATGGTGCGGTTTTAGATAGGTGTAGAATTAGATATTCGTACTAATATGTTAGAAAACTATCTTCTTCCTTTTACGCGATGCGTTTACTTCGTCTTCCCCCCCTCCGTGACCAGATCCTTAAGGAACAACGTTCCTATTCATTTAGGCAAAAGCAATAACAAACTGCCTGCCTTTTCCACAGTCCTACAAACTGACAAATAAGCAGTCCTGCGACATCCGATGTCCGTATGACTGCAGGTCAAAAGCCATCGTCTGCCGCCTCACTTGGACACTCATAAACAACCTTTCGTTCAGACCTCACGCAGTCTATCCCTATCATAAATCGTTCAAAGTCGAAATAGCATCGACTAATTGCCCTCTATGAACCTCCAAAATACGTTGATGCTAATATATATGTATATACAATATTTCTACTATGATAAATTAAAATGAAAAATAACTTATTTGTAAAAAAGTACCTACTTACATTTTGTAAAATCCCTGATATTTGAGAATCTATTTTATTTTAAGCTAATTCGACAATTATGTATCTGGGATCAAGTAACACGGCGACCGCCTATATTATCGCAAGGGCCTGCCGATCGGTCGCAATTAAAGACTGTTATGTTTAACGGATGAGAATAAAATGTTTAAGAAATCGAATGTGCCTACAACGAAAATTTCTTTATGAATGAACCGAGTGAATGCGTGCGTGCAGCTGATGCCGTCTTGCGTCTAGACGACACCAGGATGTTTGGAAAACAAAATGACTGCGTTTGGAAAATCTTGAGAGTGCGAAAAGATGTTATTGCTTGGGAAATGAATCGAGTGAATGCGTGCGTACAGTCGGTGCCGTCTTGCGTCTAGACAACACCAGGATGTTTAGAAAACAATGACTGCGTTCGGAAAATCTTGAGAGTGTGAAAAGATGTTATTGCTTGAGACCATTTCCATTTGCAGTGAGCTATCCTATCGTTTCTTTCAAACAGTTTTACCAGAGCAGTCCAACAGAGCACATCGAGAATTTTCCATAGCGTTTTTAATTATTTAATTTTGATCCTCATTTATTTTTTTGCGTTAGAGTTTAATTTATATATCTTTCTATTCCATTTTATATTTTTTCCAATTTTGTACTATTCTAAATGTTACGATTATAGTATAAGTAGTTAAGTATAATTATAAATTACAGTTTTTGTGTTAGTTGAGTTAGTTGTGTTTTTGTGTTACTTGTTTTTTTAATGATTTCAGTATTTTTTCATTAGTTGTAAGGTGTGAATTAGGTAGATTTTTTTACATAGTTTTCATTTTTATTATTTTTTAGTAAAGTTTAAGTTTATTAAATTAAATATTTTAAAAACACAATGGAATCTCGCAAACAAGGGCAGATTATTCATAGTGATACAAAAAGTGTTGTGCGACAACTAATTAAAAAGTGTGATGAAGAAGCGAGAAGTGGACAACTTCTCCACAACATCCGACAAGCTAATTTCCGAATAGCCGCCTATTCGGGGTTGTCAATATCATCAATTACTAAGATTCGAAAGCAAGATTTAGAATGTGGAGAAGAAGAGAAATTACCATCTCCACCAAACAAAAAACTAAGAACATCCATAGTAGACTGCTCTGAAGAAACAAAAAGTGTAATAAAAAATGTTATTTACAATTTTTATATTGAAAGAAAGATTGTACCTAGTGGGCCCATGCTACTAGCAGCTATAAAGGAAAAAACAGATTTTCCATGGGAATTACATAGTTTATACAGGTTGCTGAAAAACATGGGCTATAAGTGGAGGAAAAGTAACAATATTCGTAAAATCCTAATCGAAAAGCCAAATATTGTTATGTGGAGGGGGAAATATTTGAAGGCCATCGATTACTATCGAAGGCAAAACAAAAATATTGTGTATATCGACGAAACATGGGTCGACAATACCCTATGTTTTGGAAAATGCTGGCAAAGTGAAGATATGTTAGGTGTATTAAAAAATACCAGTTCTTCTCACCGATACATAATTGTCCACGCTGGAGGAGAAGATGGATTTGTAAATGGAGCTGAGTTGATTTTTAAAGCCAACAGTACGACAGGTGATTATCACGGACAAATGAATTCGGAAAATTTCGAAAAATGGCTTACGCAAAAATTAATACCCAACTTAACAAGCAATTCTGTCATCGTAATGGATAACGCACCATATCATTCTCTAGAACTGAATAAAGCGCCAACCCCATTCTCTAGAACTGAACAAAACCCCAACCAAAAATGCAACAAAAAAACAAATGATCGAATGGTTATTAAAAAATAATGTAACGCACGCAGAAAGTATGCGAAAATTCGAATTATATGACTTAATAAGCAAAAATAAACCGGATAACAAACAATTTAAAGCTGACGAACTATTAAAATTACACGGACATAATGTGTTAAGATTGCCCCCATACATGTGCGAATTAAACCCGATAGAGTTAGTATGGGCACAAATTAAACGTACAATAAAGGAGAAAAACGTATCCACATTGAGTAACGAGGCATTACAATCGACATTAGACGAGGCTATAAACGTAGTAACCAAGGAAAATTGGAAAAATTATTGGAACCACATTAAAAAAATCGAGAAAGAATATTGGGAAAAAGATAGTTTAATGGAAGATGCATTGGACACATTACAAGGAGACGAAGAATATGACAGTGACACGGAGAAATCTACCAGTGAAGAAGATTCAGAGTAAGAGAATATTAAATTTTTAATTTATTTTAATGTAGAATTTATCCTAAGAAAAGACAGAGAAATAACTAACACTATTCTTTTTCAGTTAGCTGAAAACTTTTGGACACTACGACAATGGAATGCCGCTCGACGTATCGCTCGTTCTGTCTCGCTTGTTCTACATATATCTGATCCACTCTCCGCGCATGCGACCGATTAGTGTATGTGTGCGCCTCGACAAATAGCGCGTTATTGCCGAAGATGCGTGTGACAAAAGGCGGCAACGTTACAATCTAACCAATGCGATACTCTTTTCGTCCCGCTAGCCCCGTTCCCGTCCCGCTAGTTTTCTCTCATACTCTCATATAATATGTCCAGAATTTGACTTGGAATGCTATGAACGAAAACC